TTTTGCCATGAGTTGGTGTAGTATTTCATGGGGTGCACTGCCAACTGAAGGGTCAGCAGTTCTGATCCACTAGCTGCTCCACTTTAGACAAAGGAGCAATTTCTTCCCCCAAGATTTACAGTCACTGAGAACCCACTGAAGAGTCAGCTATTAGTTGATTCCAACTTAATGACCCATAACAACAGAAGAACCCTGTCACCCTCCGGTCCTATCTTTCATTCCTCTCCAAATTCATCCCACATGTTTCTTGGTTTCCAGTTTACTAATCTGTTCTCTACCTCCCCGCTCTCCCAAACTGCTATTAAACTCATCTATATGGAACCACCGTGACTTGGAATTACCTTGACAAGAACCAATATCAATTTATAAGTATATTAACACATTTTCAGCTAGAATTACTATTTGTCTTTTTGTAAAATAGATTTCAGTTGATGGATAAAATTCTCTACTTTTACATATAAACCTCTTTGTTTTTAACTCTTAGTTATTTTAAATCTTTATCTGATAACTTCCACAAGTATGTCACCTCTAGCTCTGCTTTTATTGTCTATTTTATCTCTGTATCCCATTCCTTGGCATAAGTGTAAATTTCTAGTGAATGTCTGATAACTGTATATGAGAAATTTTAGAGAATCTGGATGGGTTTTTCTTCCTCCTAAGATGAATAGGATAATTTCACCTTCTCCTATGGGAGACATCGTAAGTGGAAGCAGGAGACTCTAAGTCTCCTTGAGACAAGAAGGTTATTTTGTAGTTTGATATATCTATAATTTCCTCCCTCTTAGGATTTAGCACTCCAGGTGTTCAAGCTAACAGCCAATCTTCAGCTAGTCTTAACTCTGAATATTGACCCTTCAAGAGTAAGACTTCAAAAACTCTGCTCAGCTGTTCGGTGGGTGTGTTTTCCATGTCAGTATCTTCCCTCTATAGCACAAGAATTTGGCAAATTCCAAAAGGGTTCAACTCCTAATTATTAAATTTATGTTCCTTCTTTCTGTCTGTGAATGTGGCCCCTTATGTCTTGGCTGCATTTGGAGTCACAAATTCACACTCAATTTTCTCCAACCCCCAAAGATTTCCCAAAATCTATTAATTAATAGATATTTTTGGCACATCGCTCTGCCAACTTATTCCACCTTCCAATGCACAGTAAGAGTCAGCAATTGTCCCGCAGGGAAAAGCCATTTCCAGAATGCTGGCTCACTTCTCCAAATTTCCCTTGTCTCCAGAATTGTCACCTTTCAATTTCTGAGAACTCTGTTGGCCTAGTGTATGGAGAGTTGCACTCCCAACTCAAAGGTAGGTGGTTCAAACCTATCAACTACTCCACAGCAGAAAGATGTGCAGCCTCCTTCCATGAATCTTAGGGCTTCTGAAAGCATGCTGAAGGATAAGATGTGAGTTTCTTCCAACTCAACATCAATCAGTTGTTATTTAATTTCTAATTTAGCCATAATACTCAATAGCTTTAAAATAGATTTTATGGTATTCTATACAATTTTTCCAGTTGTCCTCAGCAGGAATATTTGTTTGAAAAAAAGGCCCTTTTTAGAATAGATGGGTCTTTTAAAAAATTTGTATGTATGCACAATCTACATGGCTGGTTCTTGTATTCCTGAGGGGTCAGGAACTGAGCACAGGCCGGGTTCAAATTTATATTGGTCTTATAAGGCAAAATAAAAAGAACTTCAACCTATAATTTAACTTAACTCCTAGAACCTCTGATATGTTTTATGATTTCTACAAGAGATAAGAAACCTGGATCCAGAACCAATACAGTGACAAAGAACAGCCAAGAAAGATGGAGAACTTTAGTATTCAAGACTTAGCCTGGGTATCATATCCTCCCCAGAAAGCTCCACTCCCCAAAGTCCTTCCATCTAGGTTAGCTATGCCCGCCCTACATCAGAATATGCTGTGCTTCTCTTCTGTCTCCACTGACATCACAGGCTCACAGCAATCATCTCTCCACCCTGACGGAGTTCCACAGTTAGGGTGGTACACTTTTTCAGAAGCTAAGTGAAGATACTACCAAGCCGAAGGTAACTCGTGGTTGCTGTGATGCTGAAAACTGTGACAGTGATGTGCCAATCGTGGCAATGGATACCCATGATGGACAGTGTTGGGTGCAGCTTCCCGACTAAATCAAGCCTGGAAGCAGGAGCGGCATCCACTTCCGAAATGGCTTGCCTCCAGAAACTCTATGTACGAACAGTGCTCAGGCCGTTCGTTCATAGGGCCGCTATGAGTCATCTACGACTCACCGGCATCAAACAACAACAACAACAACAAAGGGAAGATAAACTCCACTGCTGTTGAGTTTATATCAACTCAAAGTGATCCAACAGGACAGAATATAGCTGTCTGTGAGGTTTCCAAGACTGCAAATCTTTTCTGAAGCAGCAGATTGCTTCACTTTTCGCCCACAAGGCTGATCGGTTTTGAACCATTCATTTTGCTTCAGCAGCAGCAATAGTGTTTGACCCTGCTCATCTCTAACATCACGTAACCTCAGCTCCATGGCTCCCACCCAACCAAACTCCTCAGGCAGGGCTGCATTGTTTTCTCAGAGCCCAGGGCACGGGCATTGTGCAGCACGGGGTTGGGAGAAGATTTGCTATGTAGTGAAGAAATCAGTGCTTGGAAAGAAAAAGAAGCATAGTATTTTAAAAGTATTTAGCAGAGAAACAGAAGACTCAATAGCCAAATATTATTTGTGGAAAAGGGGAGAAATTTAGATCACTCTCAGGTTACTAGTTTGGGTGGCCAAGATATTGTTTGGTTAACAAGCGGGAAAACAAATAGGGAAAAACAAAAGCAGTAATTGCTAGTTTACACCTCAGAGATTTTGCTGTGGATGCCTGTGATGGTTTTGTTGTTGTTGTTTCAGGGGAGATGTTTTAGGCACAAAGCTTGGACACATCTGAAGTAATTTTGGGCAGAGAGGTAAAGCTCATGTCTGTGCCTGACAGTCAGGACAGAGAAGAGAGCACATGTGCAGAGACCAGAGAACTCTGCTAGCTTACATGGGAAACACTGCCACAGGACTGTCCTCCCTTATGCGTTTGTCACCTGAACTAAAGCCATCAGGGAACTTCCTATACCAGAGAGAGTCCTGGGGAGTCACTTCTAGAAGCATGTCAGTCCTCACACTCTCTCCAACCCACCCAGGTTCTCCATCCTCAGAGCTCAGAGAATTCCAGCGGTCCCAGCATCCAGGTACACAGGAGCCACGCCACACTTCCCACCTAAGGGCAATTGGATACATGGATTTCTTGTACAGACAACATGACACCCACCCAGACATCCCGTAAGGGAGATTTTATTTGCAGATACAGTCTTTCTCCTCCAAATTTATGTTCTGGAAAGAAACATAAAAAGGATTGTTGTTGTTGTTGTTGTTTTGTACCATTAAGTCAACTATGATTCACAACTGTATAAACAATAGATCTGACTCTTGCCCTAGCCTGCAGCTATCCTCATAATCTCTCTTATGCACAAGCTATTTGACATAGTCACTAAGTTAATGCATCTTGTTGAGGCTACTTTAACTTTCCCATCATCGTCTCTCTCTCTAAGGATTGGTTTCTCTCGAAATCTGCCCAGAATAAGTGAAGATAAAAATTCACCATTTTTGCCTCTGGGGAATACTCCAGTTTCACTTCCTTCAAGTTGGATTTCTTATGGCAGATTCATATGATGGAACACTATGCAGCACTCAGGAGCAATGATTCAGAAAATTGCCACATAACTCAGGAGACTGGAGGACATTACACTGAGTTAATGAACTCACTCTCCTAAGAATAAATACTACATAAGACCGTTATTATAAAAGCCGAAGGATAACTAGTAAAACGTGCATGGGGATCCAGGAGGGGAAGGAGTGGGAACAGAGGGGTAAGGGCGGGCAGGGGGGCAATCATAGGGTTGCACAACTAGTGGGTGGAGGGAGCAGGGAGGTAAAGGAAATGGGAAAGGTCCAGTGGGGATCTGGAAAGATAGGGTAATGAAGTTGTTGTTGTTTAATGCCGTCGAGTTATAGACGACTCATAGCGACCCTATGAATGATCAGCCTGAGCACTGTTCGTACATAGAGTTTCCGGAGGCAAGCCATTTTGGAAGTGGATGCCGCTCCTGCTTCCAGGCTTGATTTAGTCGGGAAGCTCCAGCCAACACTGTCCACCATGGGTGCCCATTACCACGAATGGCACATCACTGTCACAGGCTTCAGCATCACAGCAACCACGAGTTACCTCTGTACAGCAACGCACAGACCAGTGCTATACCACCTAGAAGAATGTTTGACAGGAAGACAATTTGAACCTGGCTGAGGGCCACAGATGACAATCACCCACCTTCGGCTTGGTAGCACAGCTTTCTTCCACTAGGCCAACGTAGCTCACCATGAAGAGCATGGTTTAATGGTGATTTATGAAACATAATGAGTGAGAATGATTGTACGAAACACAATGTGAATGAAGGATAGTATGAAACACAAGGCATAGGAACTTTGTATGCAAAACAATGTAATTTTTTTTTTAAAGAAGAAATTTTTTTAAAAAGGTGAATTTGTTCTTTTGTCAGTCCATGGGATATTCAGTACTCTTCACCAACACAATTTTTTTTTCTTCTGGGGCCTTCATTATTCATTGTTCATTGTTCAATTTTCAGATGCGTTGGAAGCAATTGGAAATATCAAGGCTTGGATCAGGAGGACCTTAGTCTTTAAACTCACATAGTTTTACAAGGTGAGCAACATATTATAGAAACATAAACACCAGGCTGGTTTAATGAGAGCTCACTGGACTCCAAACAACAACAAGGAAGAGAGACTTGTTGGTCTCTTGTTGGGACAACACATACAACACTGGGAGATATAAAAGCCCTGAGAGCCCAGAGCTCCTCACACACTCATTCACTCACTCACCCTCCTCCCAGCTCACCTCCTCCGTCCCACCATGGCTCACACCTGCTACTCTGGATCCTGTGTTCCAGCTGCCTCCACCATGTCCGTCTGCTCCAGCAACAGGAGCTATGGCAGCCGTGTCTGCCTGCCCAGTGCTTGTCCCAGCTCCTCCTGGGAGGTGGAAGACTGTCCTGAGAGCCACTGTGAGCCTCCTTGCTGTGCCCCCACCTGCTGCCAGTCCACCTGCTGCGAGCCCACCTGCTGCCAGTCCTCCTGCTGCCAGCCCACCTGCTGTCAGTCCTCCTGCTGCCAGTCCTCCTGCTGTGCCCCAGCCCCTTGCCTCATCTGCACCCCTGTGAGCTGTGGGTGCAGTCCCTGCCAGTCAGGCTGCACCAGCTCCTATGAGCCCTCCTGCTGCCAGCAGTCCAGCTGCCAGTCCTCATGCTGCAAACCTGTGTGCTGTGTGCCTGTCTGCTGCAAGCCTGTGTGCTGTGAACCTGTCTGCTGTAAGCCCGTCTGCTGTGAATCTGTCTGCTGCAAGCCCATCTGCTGCAAGCCTGTCTGCTGTGAATCTGTCTGCTACAAGCCCATCTGCTGCAAGCCTGTGTGCTGTGAATCTGTCTGCTACAAGCCCATCTGCTGCAAGCCTGTGTGCTGTGAACCTGTGTGCTGCAAGCCCATCTGCTGCAGGCCAATCTGCTGTGAGTCCAGCCCCTGCTCAGCCTCTTCATGCTGCCAGCCCTCTGTCTGCTCCTCCTCCTGCTGCAAGCCCTGCTCCAGTGTGTCCCTTATCTGCCGCCCTGTGTGCAAGCCCGCCTGCTCTAGCTTCTCATGTGGCCAGAACTCTTGCTGTTAAGTGGACATTTTAAGTTCATCCCCAATCTTAAGAGGACACCACCACCTGCCCTACCTGGAATCTTTGCTAATCCCCTAGACCTGTGTCCTTGCCATAGCATTTATGTCATCCCTGTTCAATGTCTCCACCTGGAACAGCACCCCTGTCCTACCTACCCCAATCAATGTGCCCTGCCTCCTCAGCCATGAGGTTGGCAGTGACTCCAGCTTAGCCAGTGGGGTTCTGGTCTTTGAACCTTGTGCAGAATGGAGCAAAGGAAGAAATTATTTCCACTCCCACCTCCTCAGCTCTTCATGGAATTCTGCCCCCAACCCTTGTTATGGTCCAAGCTCCTGTGCTCATTTCTGAGTCAGCTTCTGTGAGCTCTGACTTGTCTTTCCAATAAAGAACTTTGTTTATCAAGTTGACTAGAATTTATTCTTGTTGTTCACAGCCAGGAGGGGAGGACCCTCCCTTTGAGTTCATATTCTGAATTCAGACTTCTGACTCCAGATCATGAGACATTAAATTGCTATTCTTTAATGTTAGCTTATTAGCATTATGTTACGCAGCCCTAGCAAACTAAAGGGCGCTCTGGTGGCCTGGTCAGTAGGGAATTGCTGTACTTCTGTGGCTGATTTAATGGATCAGGAGCTCTGTAAGACAAAGACTGACAATCTAGTCCTGTGTGATTTACAGCTTCTTGAACGCAAAACATGATCAGCTATGAGTTCGTTCCAAGGCTTGATGGAAATGAGTTGAGTTGAGCAAAGTCAGACAGACATCCTCTAAACAGAGATCTAGAAAAAGGTCTCCTTTTGATGACAAAAGCTTTGAGTTATTCTATCAACAGGTGTGTCTCCAGTTCCTCTCAAAATCTCTAAGAACTAGAAACACAGTCATGGGATCAGCTTCCAGCATAACCAGGAACTTGCGTCCCACAGAGATTAAGATAAAGGCATCTCACCCAAAGGATTCTGTACCATTTGCCCACTGTGAAACCTAGACTTGGTTCCTCTGCTAGTGCAGGACCCAGTAAGCCTCCAGGGACCTGGCATCCAGGGTGTGCACACCTGCTTCCTTCTTTTGGTTTGTTTATTTAATCATCTTTATTATTCTTTATTTTATCCTATGGAGTTCTCATTCTATCATTCATAAACATTTTTAATGTGTTTTCCCTTTTTTATTATACTAGTTTATTTACAAAATTTGAATACATTGTTTTTTCACACCAGTTCCTTCCCATTTCCCTAGCCTCTCCCATCAAATTGTGTGACCCTATGAGTAACATCCCACCCCTCCTGAATCCATCCTCATCCTTCTGCTTCCACCCTCCCCCTCCTTGGATCCTCATTCTCAATCTACAATAATGGTTTTATACAGTATTTGTCCTTATGGGACTGAGTTAACTCACTTAGCATAAGCTCTCCAGTTCCTCCCAAATTAGGTAGTGGTTTACAAAATGATTGTTCCTGTGTGCTGCGTAGTATTCCATTCACACCTGCTGTTTTGTGGGTTCTACAATGTTCACAATGAAGGTGGCACTGGAGGTGGGTCAAGTCATGAGTAGAGAATATGCCAACTTACTTTTCAAGTACAACCGGGCAAGCACCAAAATTATGTGTACACGTCCCCAGGGAGTATGCACTGAAGTGGTAGGTGCAGAGACAACTTTCCCCACGTTGTTCTACTAGTGTCAATTGTTCTATGTTGTGCTGCTGGCTAACTATAGTCTGAAATTGTCACTTTGCACTTGTGATTCATGATTAATTACAATGGGGTCTATTTCACCTTTATTCTAGTTCTTTTATCCTCTTTATTTTTTATGCAAAAGGAAGGATGTCATATACAAACTGCAAAAAGTACAAATCATAAAGCAATATATTGGAAATTTTTAGTGTATTAAAGTTTTAAACCCCTGCACACACACACACACACACACACACACACACACACACACACACAACCCAACAAACAACAAACAACAAAGTGATAGAATTATGATCCGTCTTTAAACGAGTATCGTCTCTCTGTGGCACCTTAAAGAGGTTCTCAAGAGTAGATTTTCCCCAATGCAACACATCTTCCGATGTTTTTAACTTTATTTCTTTTACCAAGGGTGGCCACCAGGGACTGTGCTGCAGGAGAAAGACGAGTAATCTCCTCCCATGAAATTTAGTGCCTCTGAAAACTCACTGAAACGTCAGCTCTGGGTTCCTTCTGACTTAATAGTATTCAACAATAACAGTAACCATGAGTGTTAGTTGTAGATCCAAGGAAAAGAAAACTGATGACAATCTCAATCTTTCCTCCATAAATCATAATATATTGCCTATTGATCTATTTGTGAGGATTTTTGTTTTTTCATTTAAAATGCAAACCATTTGAATATTGTATAGTCTGTGATCTTCATTAAGTGCTTTAAGTCTACTTTCTGCAAAGAAATCTATGCCATCTGCAATTTGGTTGTTGATGAATATTCCTTCAATCCTGATGCTTACTTCATCTTTGTATATTTCAGTTTCCTCAAATGTTGCATTCAGTATACAAATTGAGTATGTATGGAGAAAGGATGTACTCCTGATGGACACTTTTCCTGATTTTAAGCCATGCATGATACCCTTGTTTGGTTTAAAGGCTTACTTCTTGCTCTATTTGTAGATTTTGCATGAGCAGAATTAAGTGTTCTGGAACTCCCATTCTTTGTTACCCACAGTTTATTAAGATCCACACAGCCACATGCCTTTGTATAATCAATACAATACAGGCAAGTATCTTTCTGGAGGTGCTGCTATTCCTTGTAGAAGAACATGATATTGGTAAGGGTGGAGAGTCAACAAAGAAGAGGAAGACCCTCAGCTAAGAGGGATTGAGAAGGTGACAGCCACAATGGGCTCTTATGTGTCAGGAAATGTGAGGATGGCACAGGAGAGAACAGGGGTTCAGATCTTTTGTTCATAGGGTCACTATGAGTCATCTACGACTCTACAGCACCTAACAACAACAACAACAACAGGTTGCAGATTAACACATGCTGAAAAATATGCATTTAAGATTAAAAAATATACAAAGTAACACTTTGCCTTTTGTGACTATGCCATCCTCTTCTTGTTGGTTGTTCTGTACCATCGAGTCAGAACCAACCCATAGGTGACCCACCAGTGGGTTTCATAAATGAGAATGATGAACATCTCTCTCAGAATAGTGGTTATCTCTGGGAAGAGAGGAGAATGGCTGGGAGGAGTACATGGGGAACTTCAGTGGTACCCTAATATGCAAATATGTAAAACTGATGTTGCTAGATGCCATTAAGTCAGTTCCAACTCATAGCAATTCTATGTACAACAATAAATACTAAGGATTTTTACAGCTGGATCCTTGTCAACTGTGTGTTTATTGTTTATTCTCTATTGTTTCTGTGTTTGAAATATTTTATAATAATGTAATCTAGAGACAGCAAAAGCATTATGGCCCACATTCTCTCAGTCAGATGCAACAAAATACAACACAATAAAAAAAGAAATCTATTTTGGAAAAATGAAATCTACTCTATCAAGGTACTGAGATGATGAAAACCTAGTTACAAACCATATGGAAATGTATAAAGACATGACACCTCAGGACGGTTGGCATTTGTGTAAACAGTGCTCAGAGAAACTTGAAATTCAAAAGAACAGGACAAATGTAAATTAACATAATGTATATTAATGATTGCATGGAAACAAATTTAAAACACAAAGCAAGCAAGATTGACATAAGACATCAATGGAACTCCAGAAACAATAGCAGAGTTTAATAGGGCAACAAACAACAAATGCTGGTGAGGTTATTTAAAATGGCACAGCCACTATAGAAGAGAGTCAAGTGCTTTCTCAAAAAGTTGAAAACAGAAATATCATTTGATCCAGAAATTCCACTATTGGGAATGCACTCTAAAGAGTGCATTCTAAATGTCCTTTTTTTTTTAGATAGTACCTTATAAGAGGATGGTATAGTCACAAAAGGCAAAGTGTTGCTTTGTATATTTTTTAATTTAAATGCATATTATTTAGTATGTGTTAATCTGCAACCTACTTTTAAAAAATATTGGCATGATATTTTCGAGATTTATCCATATAGATAAAAGAATGTACTCTAAAGTACAAAACGTATGCATACCTATGTTTATTGCTGCACAATAGCAAAGAGATGGAAGAAACCTAAGTTCCCATCAACAAATGAATAGAAAATCTATGATATGTTTACACAATGGAATATTACACAGCACTGAAAAACAATGAACTCATAAACTGTTACATAACATTGGAGAGGCTTGAGAACATTATGTTGAGTGAAACTCTTCAGCCACAAAAGGACAAATACTGCATAACATCACTGTTATAAAATAAGACAGATATTGGTTGGGGATATATGGGGAAAGAGTAGATAATGAACACTGCACTAGAACCAACAAGGGGAAGAACTGTCCAAAAGGAATATATGATTATAAATTATATGCATGACAACAATCTGGAACAAGGGGTATATTGTGGGGGAGCTGGAGGAGGTAGACAATGTACAAATAAAATAAAAAAATAAAGATGTATAGGAAAGTTCTTTTAAAAAATCTATCAATGAGATAAATGATAAATTAAAAAAAAGTAACAGAATAAATTAATCCTCAGAAAGTAAATTAATTAGAAGAAAGATGAAATTAATCCTCAGAAAGTAAATTAATTAGAAAGAAGAAAGATGAGAGATGTCAGCAAAGAAATGAAATGTTTCTTTTGAGAAGAATGATAATTTTTTTTAATCTAAAAGAAAGTCCATAAGTAATCACTTTGAAAATATGGCACATGATCATAGCTGGAGAAACGGGTTTTTAAAATATGAAGTGGGGAGTGAATACAAGAGAAAATAGAAGACTTGAATAGACCAGTGATCACAGAGTACTTGAGAAGGCAGGTAAAGATTTTGGAAGCACACCATAAAAATCACTGAATATAAAAGGAAAAATAAGTCAGACTTTATTGAAATGAAAA